CACCGGCAGCCGCGACAGCAGCGCTGCAGCAGCTTGCGGTGTTTGCAGCGCAGCAGCAGCAGCAGCAGCACCGCCCACTGCTGTTGCTGCTGCTGCTGCTGCTGTTGCTTCTTGCTCCTGCAGCAGCAAAGGGAAGGGACCCGCCAGCACCGGGATGCTGCGGCAGTCTAACAAAGCCCCTTCAATATCGATAAACAGAAGACACGAGTAGCAGCTTCTTGCTGCTGCTGTTGCTGCTGCTGCTGCTGCTGCTGCTGGAGTTGCCGCGGCTGCGGTTGGCGCTGCTCCTGCTGCTGCTGCTCCCTGGTGAAGCAAGCAGTGCAGCAGCTGCAGCGCAAACGTTTCTTTGCTGCTGCAAGGGACCCCTAAGCCCCAAGCAGCCTCCCTCTGAATAATGCTGCTGCTGCTGCTGCTGCTGCTGCTGCATGCCAGCGGCAGCGTCAGCAGCTCTCGAGCCTGCAGCAGCAGCACTCCTGCTGCTCGCCTGAAGCCGCACAGCTGCAGCAGCAGCGCAGCAGCAGCAAAGCCCTCCAAGTAAAGGGCAAAGCGGCGAGCTGAACGTTTGTGCTGCAGCAGCTGCAGCAGCTGCTGCTGTAGCTGCTGCAGCTGCTGCAGCGTGAGGCCGAGGAAGATGGTGTTTGCTGTCGCGAGCGGGAGCATCCTTCCTGTTTCTGCTTCTGTTGCTGCTGCCGTTGTTTCCCTTGCTGCTGCTGCTGCTGCTGCTGTTGCTGGTGCTGCTGCTGCAGGCAGCAAGGACAAGAGGAGCGACTGCAGCAGCTGCACAGGAGCAGCAGCTATTGCTGCTCTAACCTCTTCAAAAGAGTTGCACTTTAAATTATATCGCAGCATAACCGCCCAGACATCAAAGGCTGGGGGTTGTCTTTCTGATGTTGCTATTCTCAGTGGTGCATGCACCCACCTGCTGCTGTTGCTGCTGCTGCTGCTGCTGCTGCTGCTGCTGCTGCTGCTACGGGCTAGTCCCCCATGCTGCAGCAGGCGCAGCAGCCAATTCTGCTGCTCTGCGCGGCGCCCTAAGGCCCCGCATGCTTCCACAGCACCTGAAAGAAAACAAAAGGCGTAATCTGCTGCTGCTGCTGCTGCTGCTTCATCGTCGCTGCTTGCTGCTGCTGCTGCTGCTGCTGGTGCTGCTGCTGAGGCTGCTGCTGCGGCTGCTGCTGCGGCTGCTGCGGTTCTTGCCGCTGCGCCTGCATTTGTTTCGGGTACGCCTGTGGCTGCTGCTGCTGCATCTGCTGCTGCGGCTGCCTCATCTGCTGCTGCGGCTGCTGCTGCTGCACCTGCAGCATTTGCTGCTGCTACGCGTTCAGCATTTGGTGCTGCTGCTGGATCTGCAGCAGTTGTTGCTGCTGGAGTTGGCAGCAAGAAGAGGGGCTCTAACCCTTGTAGCTGCGCATACAGCTGGGCATACTCTTGTCGTAAGACTGCAGCATCAAGCAGCAGCAAGCGTGTTGCTGCATCTGCTGCTGCAGCAGCAGACAGCAAACCATCAGCAGCAACCCGCTGCTCCCTGTGTCTGTTCTGGGCAGGGGGGAATTTGCTGCTTTCAGATGAACCCCTTGACATCGCAGCAGATACCTCTGCATGCAAATCCTGCTGCTGCTGCTGCTGCTGCTAAAGCTGCTGCTGCTGCTGCTGCTGCTGCTGTCGAAGCGGCGGCGGGTTCAGCAGCATAGTCGCTGCCGCTTCCGCTGCTGCTGCTGCTGCTGTTGTTGTTGAGGCGGAAGCGGATTGAGCCGCTTAGCCGTTGCCGCTGCTGCTGCTGCTGCTGCTGCTGCTGCTGCTGCGCTGCATGCACATGTTGAGGAGACACAGCAGCAAAGCGGAGTTGTAAGACAATAAAAATGCAAACGAAGACAAAAAAAGAATCTGCCGCTATACATGCAGTAACACTTTCGCTAGTGCTGCCTTTTTAGTGCTGCTGCTGCTGCTGCTGTTGCTGCTGTTGCTGCTGCTGCTGTTGCTGCAGCGAGGCTTATAAACGAGGCTTGGGAGTTCTTTAAATGAGAAGTAAAACAAATAATTATAAAATCAATAAATTCAAAATTATGCGCTAAGCAGGGAAATAGGGTTTAGGGTTTAGCGGTTGTAGGGTGTTTTTAGGGTTTAGGGTTTAGGGTTTAGGGTTTAGGGTTTAGCTTGTGGCAGGAGTTGAAGCTGCTGAATGTCTTTGTTTATATTATCTCCGCATGAATAATATTTATTTTTAAAATAATGTTTAAATAAATATTTTGAGGTATAAAAATAAATAAAATGCGACAAATTTTATTAAAGTAAATTACGTAGAACTCAGCTCAATCGATTTGTTGTATTCACAAACTCTCTAAACCTTGTTGCTTATCTGTGCAGCAGCAGCAGCAACAGCAACAGCAGCAGCAGCAGCAGTGACACCAGCAGCAGCAGCAGCGACAGCAACAGCAGAGACAGCAGCAGCAGCGATAGGAGCAGCAGCAAACAATAGCTGCAGCAGTATTTGTCTCCTCTGCTATCTCTCTCTCTCCTTAACCCAAGATTCTACTTCGTCCTGGGGTTTAGGGTTTAGGGTTTAGGGTTTAGGGTTTAGGGTTTAGGGTTTAGGGTTTGTGGTATATTGTTTGTTTGTTTTATTCTAAGGAGAAAACTAAAGCAGCAGATAAATCAGCAAGACAAACTTTTTAATTTTTTTAAATAATTTTTTAGTTTTTTGTTTATTTTTTATTTATTTTTTGTTTATTTTTTGTTTATTTTTGATAATTTTAAAGCAGAAGAAAAACTCATTTGTTTTATTTTATATCATATTTATATTTTTCTTTTGACTGTTCATCGCCAGCATTGCTGCTGTCTCCACTTGTTTATTATTATTATTATTATTATTATTAATTATTATTATTATTATCTTATTGTTTTATTTTAATTATTTTAATTGTTTTTTGTCTTATTTAAATTTATATTAATGCGTTTATTGTCAGAGTCTCGCCAACTCGAAGTCGGCGCTGCAGCACTCCTCCTGAGAGAAAATAAATAAAAGTAAATTAAAATAAATTAAAAAACAAATTAATTAATTAAAATAAATATAAATATAAATGCGTAGATGTAAATACGTGTATATAAACAAGTGCAGAAATATAAATAAATATTCATCAATAAGTTTACTATAAATTTAAACAAATTTATACATATATATATATATATATATTAATAGATATTTACGTATGCAAATATATACTTATAAATAAATGAATATAAAAATACATATTCATATGTATAGAGATACAAATATATATAAATATATACCTATATATATATATTTACTTACATAAATATATAAATGTATAAATATATATATATATATATTATAAACAATTAAATAGACAAAGAGAATCTCACCTCTGCAGTTTGTCTGTTGAATAATTTGTCTACGATAATTTTGAAAGGCCGCAGTGCTGCGGTGTATTGACGGTTGAGTTGGAGATAAAGAAAGAAAAACGACTTATAAATCTTACTGTAATATGCAGCAAAGACGAAGACAGTAGCAGCTGAGGAGAGCGTAGAGGAGATAAAAGAAGAAGAAATGTTATAATGCATGCATGCATGCATGCGATCAGCAACGCATTTTGAGGTGTATAGACAGATAGAAAGACAGCTTACCGATTAGTATCAGCAGAACATATTGAATATGTGCTGTAGCACTCGCAACAAACCCCTTCATCAGCTGATGCTGCTGAGCAGCAGCAGCAGCAGCAGCAGCAGCAACAGAACTCCAATTGTGCTGCACATCAGGAAAGATATCTGCTGCAGCGAGGCATTTCATTTCTTTGTCTTTTTCTTTTTCTTTCTTTACTCGCAGCTGAACCCCTGAAGCTGGAGAAGCAGCAAAGCGACAAAAGCTGCATTTCAAATTATTATTATTAATAGAGGCTTTCGTTATTATATACACTTCAGGTGCATAGGCAACTCAGGTGTATAGACAAACCGTTCTGCGTCTTCATCCTGCAGCAGCGCTGCCGTTGATCGGACGCCATTCATATTTTTGTTTGTTTTTTAATTAAATTCTTTTTCTTTACCCGAATAAGAACGAGGGGAGCAGTCTGCAGACAGAGCAGCAAATAAAAACAAATAAATGCGTAAAGATTTTATTTATTATATTTAAATACAAAGCAAAGACTAAATGCAATCTCTCAGTACAAATACATGCGCAAGCGATAAGACAGAAGGAAAATAAATAAAGTTTTTAATTAGAGATATATACACATAATAGCAAACGCCGTTGTTTATTTTATATAAATAAAGAAATATTCAAACAACAGCAAAACAAATACAATTATTCATTATATATAAATGAACAGGCGATTTAACACAAGTAAAAGAAATAAGTTTGTTTATTAGATATAAAATAAACAGATATTAAAACAGAAGAAAAAGAATTGCAACTCACGACGCCATAACTTCAAACACAAGTCCTCACAAAGGTAAACAAAAACTGTCTTCGTCTTCTTGTGCAAGTAGATGAATTCTTTTCCGTTGCGTAGTTCGCCTGAGCAGCAGAAATAAAACAAATACGTAAATATTATTGCTGCGGTTGTTTTATTCACTTGTTCGTCTACTACTTACATGTAAATGCTGCTTGCAACAGCGATAGAGAACGAAAGCATCCATCAGCATCCGGCGCGGAGCTAGTCAAACCCTGCAAATCAATCGTCATGCAAATCGATTCCTTTCAAAAACTCTACGCATGCATGCTTGCATCTTTGCATGCAAGTCTATCTGCATGCATGCAGGTTTGTTTGTTGAATTTACGGGTCTGTATTCAAATTGAACGCCCGTTGGGAGGCGGCAACGTTGTAGCCCGAGGTTCTTCAAGCGAAAAAAAGAAGAAAATAGACATAGTGAAGTATTTAGAAATGAATAATACTAAATTTAATTCGCTTACCGCGCAAACTGCAGAGGCAAACGCTTGATAACGAACGCCCACTGATAAGCAGGAACTAACAAGAAGCATTTCTTTTTCTGTTTCTGCAGTAGCCAGCTGCAGATGCAGTGGAAATAGGAGTAAAAATGTTGCATAAATGTGCATTTTAACGAAAAACAGAAAAGGGAATAAAAGAATATACTTCTGACCGTCGGGTCGCTGCACAATATGCCGCCTGTTGATTTCGGGTGTATAGGCAGCTCATGTTTGATGTTGTAAGAAAGATGCAAATAAAAGTATCAGCATTTCCTGTTTTCTGCTTTCAGGCGTTACTATGTAAGGATAGAAGTGAATGCCATTATACTTGCTCCCTTTTACGGTTTAAAAACTAAACTTCTCTTGTTCTAGTTTCAGGTGTGTATACACCGCAAATTCTTTTTTCGTCTGATGAACCAAACGTTGAGTTAGTTTTGAGTTAACAAAAAGAAATAAGAAATCATTAAAGAGTTGAATGAGTTGTTTCTCACAATTATTATTTCTCTCCTTAAGTTTATTTCGCTGTCACTACACCTGATTGCTGCATGCAGAATCACCGCCCTCCGACTGAGAAGCGGCTTCTGCCTTTAGACCTTAACTATGCATTCACTTCCTCCTCTGCTAAATCATTTCATACGAAGACGCATCGTGAACTATTCCCAGCAACAGCAACAACAGCCGCTGCAGCAACCGGAGCAGCAGCAACAACAGCTGCTGCTGCTGCTTAAGATAAGATAGCGTTGTCTTATCGCGTTGCCTTGCAGCGCTCCCGCCCTGTTGCTTCCTTTTTATATCACATGCGGCCGTGGCAAGCGCTGCCGCTTCCTGCTGCATCTGCTGCAGCAGAGTTAGCGCACGAAGCCTTGGAGCCGCCCACAGCCGCTGCTGCTGCTCCTGAGGAGTGTCTTCCTGCTGCTGCCCCTTTCGATGAATTCGAAACGCCTCCTCCTCCTGTGCGCGAAGGAGGCCTCTTTGTTGATTTAGTTGCGCTGCCGCTGCATGCAGAGTTCCGGCTGTTAGACACCTGAGAGGCGGCGCTGTTGTTCCATCCCCCTCCGCCTCCCGAAGCCCCTAGAACTGGTTTTTCTGCTTCTTCTGCGCATGTTACTGCAATCGATCCACAGCAGCAACAACGGCAATTTGAAGGAAGGGATAAATTAAGGCAAAAAACAGCTGGTAATTCGTCAGGAAGCTCAACTGGCGCATATACAGCAGATATACTAACGGAGAAGAAAAGGAGAACAAGATTTACTCGCTTACAGCATTGATACTTACAACATGGATACGTGTAAATACACCTACAATGATATAATATACATATACACAAACATATACGCAAACAAACGCATCTATATATATATATATATATATATATATATGCATATATATGTTCATGTAGAATGTACGGCTGTTGCATGCATGCACTGAGGAGAGGAGCTCACAAGAGTTGAGTTCTCTAGAGGCCCGACTTGTGGTGCTCGTTAGGGAGAAGAGTCTTTCCTGGTCTATAGAGGATCCGCCTGTTGCCTTTGCTGCAGGTCGTCTGGCTTTCGTAGCGGAAGCTGCAAGAAAAAGAAAAAAATGAAAGAAACTCTTGAACAGAAGGAATATAAATTGAAATAAAAAGTGAAAAGAACAAAAATATATTTAAAAGGAAACTAAATACCGCTGCTTTCCACTATGAAATGCAGAAACTTGAATTTGAAATGAAATGAATTCAACTTCGTTGCTGAGGTGTATGTACACCTCAAATGACGCACAAGTATATCCTTCCCATCCTCGAATCATATTTCCAACATCTGCAGTTGCTGCTAAATAATTTCCTTCCATTTCATATATTTTATTTTCTAATGCAAGAACATCAGCTTCTAATTTCTCCTGCAGCTTCAACATATCTTGGTACACCGGAATCTTTTTCAACGGTTTCGGTGCTTCTTCTCTCCCCCAGCAGTTTGCATCTGCAGCCATTCCAGGTGCTGCCTGTCCACCGAAAGCTGCATATACACCCGAAAAACCTGAATTTCCACCTTCGTCTACTGAGGATTTCCCGGCGTCAGCAGAAGAAGGAGATAGCAACCCCCTTCCTTGGCCATAAGAAGGCGCATGCACCGCCCCGGGCGGATGGTGATAGTCCACAGACTCCATCGCTTGTGCATGCATGCATGCATGCATGCATGCAAAAAAAGAAAGCCCCAATAACGACGGTGTCCGCTGGAAATGAACAGAAAGAGAGGAGGCAATGGTTTCGTTTAGGAATAGGAAAAAAAGACGAGAACAAAGAGGAATAGAAGAAGGATTATGTATATATAACTTTATATATATATATATATATATATATATCTACGTCAATAGAGTGATATATATATGAACACAAAATCCTTTGATTCAAGACAGCAAGCAAACAGCAGACAAAACCTAAAAACAAAGACGCGTGAAGTTTAACTCCTCTCAGCAACAGCTGCTGTTAGACCCGACCCCTTATAGCAATCTGTTTGTTTATAAAATATCTTCTTGTTTTTATCCAAGTATCTGAGGTTTTGAAGTATTCAATTACGCAAAGAAAGAACAAAGCACTCACTAATATCTCACTATATCCATTGATGTTGGAATAAACACAAGAAAGGGGCTTCAACTTCAATTAAAAAGAAGAAAAAAGAGCATAGAAAGGAAAGAAACGTCAAAGAAAAGCAAAAAAGAGCTCGCAGCAGCAGCAGCAGCAGCCAGCGAGTGAGTGTGCGTATTTGTGCGTTTGTTTGAAGCGAAAATAGACAAAAGGAAAGAAAGAAAATAAAAAGAAGTAAATTTTGTTTTAATAAATAATAATCATTAACTTTATTCTTTTTCTTCAGGTGGATACAACAGCCCTAAATCTAATACAAGCCAACACCATCCGCATGCACTGACTTGAGGAGCTGTTTGTTTATATTTTCTTCTTTTTCATAAGTTAATATTATGCTTAATAAATAAAATAAAATAAAATAATAATTATTAATCAATTGCTTCTGTGTATTGCTGCAAAAAGAAGCGGCTGCTTCACCGTCTCAGTCCGAGCAACCAACCTGTCGCTTTGCTTCATTTTCTTTTCTTTTTCTTTTCTTTTTTTTCTTTTTCTTTATTTTTCTTTTTCTTTTTTCTGCTTTGTTCATTCAATTATCAAAATGGTTTGGACTGACTGGTGGCCTCACGACAAGATGCCGGAGCCGGCGAGTTTAAACCCTTACCGAGTGTATTGTGAAAAAGGAAAGGTAAGAGATATTCTTCTTTTCTTGCTTTTTATTTTTTTGTTTTTGTTTGTTTTAAACACAGTATACAGAGTAAAGCCTTCGGATGACTCTTTCAACGCCCAATGCACTCCGCTACACTAACTGAAAAAGAAAATGAAGCACACCGTATATGTATATAATATATATATCTATATAGATAATATATATATATATGTATATCTCTATATATATATATATATATATGTACATATATAGATCCAGCACATATATGCATGCATATTATGCATATATATATATATATATATATATA